GAATAAATAGATTTCTTTAGGAAAGACAAATGGATTTTTGGGAGAACAAATGGTAGATAAGAAAGTTTGTGATGATGTTGGTTTATGCAGGTGCAAGTGGTCTGTCCGAATTCTGCAGGTTATGAAATACCCCTGGAGAGGAAATATATGGCAGGTTTTTCTCTTGGTCTCTCCTGGGAGTAGAAACCATCTCAAAGAGAGAACTTATGGCAGCCTCATTTCTCAGAAGTTTCTGCTTTTAGTCAGAAAAGAGAAGCCCTGAAAAGGCCTTTCTTTACATCTATTGAATCTTAAGTCTCTTCAGCTTAAAATCATCTTTATACTAACTCTGGAGGTTCCAAGTGGGTCCCCACACATTCAAAGAGGAAAAAGCAGCAAAAGGGATGGAAGCAAAGACTTTCAAATTATGGTTCCATGGGTTGGTTTTGATTAATCTCATTTTATAAATAGCAAACTAGAGGCTCAGAGAAGTTAAATAATGGACCAAATTATCTGAACCAAATTGTATTTGAAGGTCTGGAAATATTCTTATTTTATTCAGCAAGCATTTGGAAGTGATTCCTCTATGGCAGTTTTTTTACCAGATACTGAAGATGACAAATAATAAATTGCTCCTGCCCTCAAGGCACTGCAGTCTAAGGGGAAATCAAAGCAGAGTGATGACTACTGTACAACTTATAACAGGTGCTATGGCAGAGATGGGTACTCTGCACACAGGTAAAGCCGTGTTATCCAGAAGCACAGAAGAGGAGCACATTTATCAGCCAGCTGACAGCCCTGTGGCTAAGTCTAGCCCTCATAGGGATCCTATTTGACCTGTACAGTTGATATGGGTTGAACCATATCCAAAAAAGTATGTTGAAGTCCTAACCCCAGTATCTCAGAAAGTGACTTTATTTGGAAATAAGCTGTTGGAAAAGTATTTAGTTAAGATGAGGTCACAGTGGAGCAGGGTGGGCCCTAAGTCTAATATGACTGGTGTTCTTATAAGATGATGTGAAGACGCAGGGGGAGAATGACGTGATGAAGGCAAAGGTTGGAGGGATGCATCTACAAGCCAGGGATGGCCCTGCTGGCACCTTGAGTTGCAGGCTTTTGGCCTCTGTGAGAGAATAAATTAGTTTAATCATTCCATTGGGGTAAGCCACCCAGTCTGTGGTGCTTTGTTAGGGCAGCCTGTAGCTCCAGGGGGAAGGATGTTCCTGGCTCAGGACGAGTGCCCTATGAAAGCAGTGAAACCGAAATGTCAAGGGAAAGGTAGGTTGGGAGAAAGGTTTTTATTTCTTACAGTCACTAGCCAGGTTCATCACCAACCGTCTCCTCCAACCGGGCTCACACTCTCCTTCCCCAACCAGAAGGAACCCCAAGGGCGGGTCCTTAGTGACTGGCAGACGCCAGACCAGTTATGTACCAGGAATGGAGGGGAGAAGAGACTGGCCATTTTCTCTCCACCCCTGCCCCAGATACAGAGAAGATTCTGTAGTGGTAAACACCTATTGTTATGTAAATGAACTAAGGCTAGGCAGGAGATTCTGGAAATTCTGCCATTTACCCCACACAGCCCTAGGTTGTAACATTTAAAAATACTAATTTGATGACATTCGTGCTGGTTCTTCTTCCACACACCTGGTCTCCTCTTCCATGTGCATAAAGGGAGCTCCGGACTACTCCTGGCTTCTGTACCCTGTCACTCACTCTTCCCCAGCAGAGGTGCACCTTCTGATTGCTGAATTAGGATAAGGAACAGGGTGGGTATCCTAGGTTGTCTTCTCTCAGTTTCGTCTTTGACGTGATCCTGCACTCAGCTCTTTCACGCATGAATATTATTGGGGCTGACCTCTCTTTGGGGGTAGGCCTTTCATTGGGTTCCCTAGAAGCAGACCTGAGATTCAAATTCATGTTCAAGTGCTTTTGGGGGAGGTGCTCTCAGGAGACAATGAGGTAAGAGGGCAGGGTGGGGAAAGAAACAGAAGCAAGCATGTTGTCTCTTCTGAAGCCTAACTCAGTCTAATCCCTTGGAAAAGCTCTGGATCACAAATTGCAACACAGAGTCAGTCCCCTTTGAGGTCATTTGTACCCTCCTTCATCAGTCAGTCTTCATCAGTCAGTCTTTGGGCAACTCAGACAGGCAAGAGAGTGGCAGAGCCTCTTGGGCAGGCCAAGGCAGCACCTGTGTGGTCAGGCAGTTCTCCAGCAAAGAGCAATGGGGCGTTAGCAGCCCCCACTCACAGCATTGGTGGGGGGTGGGCACCAACTGTCAAAGGGGATCTGGGCCTCCTGACACCACCCCCACCACAGGGAGCCTGCTGTGGGCCAGTGCTGCTTCTGCCTGGGTGGGCAAATGCGTGTAATCTGGGAAAAATAAAATGGAAGCTCCAAACCAGAATGAGAGGCCTCTTCCTCCTGCAGTGTCCTGCAAAGTCTAACAAACTGATCGCAAACAAGAAGTGCTTAAAGGGCCTAGCCCATTATCACAAAGCAGACAATAGAGGGTAGATTTTGAACTGAGTGGCAATAAATTGATAACTAGCACACCCACTAAGATCACATTTAGACACAAAACCTTCCTTTGTTTTTCTTCTTTTTCTGCTTTCTTTTGAGCATTTGTAATATTCACCAAAATATTACCAAAAGAGCCTGTGCTACATCACTTTTGTGCTGAGGCCTGCAGGGCTGGCAGGATGGGCAAGTGTTGCAGCCTTCATACGGCCTGGAAGCGCTGATTCCCCCATGAACCAGAAGTTGGCAGTGATAAATAGTACAACAAACCCATTTGGGAGCATCCCTGAAGGCCAACCCCCTTGGAGGTGCTGGGAAAGGAGGGGGTCAAAGCCAAACAGCCAAATTCTCCCATGCATCTGTTCAAGCAATGATGGCTGCTCAAACTTCATTGAGGAAAAGGGTAAAATTCAGGTTGTTGGATTTGGTCTCAGAGGTTGTGCTGTTGGAGACGTTCCTGGAATCTGCCTTCAGACTGTCAAAGTGGCCAGGGTCTCCCTTTTGGCCTTATATAAAGGCCAATGATCATAAATTTTGATGGTGCAAAAAAATTCCTAACTGCTTGCCAGTACTGACACTTCCTATTCCTATATGTTAGGAAATAGATTTACACTACTTATATGGCTGGATTTTTTTTGTTGTGTTTTAATTGTGCACTTACATGTATCAGAAAAGCTATTCATTTTTTTCCAATGATCAATAGAAAAATGTACTACAAATCAACAAATGTCTTTATCTTTATGGGGTGATTTCAGAGAGTATTATTATTATGTTCTTCCATTTCTGGGAATACTACCATTTAGAGGATTAATGGCAATTAGTAAAAACCATAGTACACTATACTTACTGAAAAATGTCATTGATATTATTCTATTTATTTATGTCTACTTTTATGAATGAAACAAATGCTTCAAATATTTGTTAATCTGATGGTGTAGGTAAGTCTGGCGACGAGATTGGGGAACATCGTGGAGATTTTGAATGCTAGGACTTCTCTGTAGCCATATCCAATAGCCTGTTCTCAGTTCTCATTCTGCTTGATGTCTTTGAAATGCCTAATTCTGTCGCTCAGTCCCATGCTCTTATTTATTCCAGGTGTCGGCAAAATACTGATTCTCTTCCTATCTGTGAACTACTGCATAGGCTCTGCTTGTGCCTCTCCACCGTGAACTGGTATACACCAGACAGTCCTTCCTCTTCTCTTCACTGTAATCATAGCATTAAAATGCATCTTACTGGTCCTAAGTTCCAAATTCCTGCCCATATTGCCTTTCCCCAAAGGTTCCTGTGAATGCCCAGTGACACGCTCATATCCACCCATAAGCTCACAGCCAGGGCTCTAGGGGAGCTGGACCCTGAAGCAGACAACCTGGATTTACAATCCCTGAGGTACTCGCTCCTTGTGTGAACTCAAGGATGTCACCTTGCCTCTCTGAACCTGTTTCAAAATCTGTAAAATGGGGCTGTCTGCCCTACCTTGTGTGAAAGTCACAAGAGATTACACACATGAAAGCACTTTGTAAAAGAATAACTTCTTTATAAAGATCTTACCAAAATGCAGGTATCATTGAGGGTATTTTACACTTATTGTTTCATTTAATTCTAATAACAACTCTGTAAGATACACATTCTTATTTTACAAAATGAGAGAAATTAGAGCTTAGAATGCTTATAAACCTTGCTTAAGCCACAGAATTAGTGCCAGAACTGATATTAAACATGAGCTTGGTGGCAAACCCCGCCCCAAGCAACAGTGAGGGTCCTGTTCGCAGGTGACAGAAACTGACACTGACAATATGACAGGAGGATAGTGGGGCTCTACAGTATTGACCTGAGGCCTGAGGATCAGGCTTGGAAAATTCGCTGAAACCAAGACAGGTCTAGGAAACAAAACAGGAAGTATATAAACTCATCTTTTAGCCAGGACAGTAGAGAGGGACACTGTGACATCAGACACTGCTGCCATCTCCACAGAATATCACTGCAGTTGGCAAGAACAACTACTTGTGCCAGAGTCAGAGCCCCAGGTGAGCATCAGATCCAGGGAGCCTGGAACACGTGGCCCGGCCTGGCTGTGACAGGATGGGAGAGAGGTGCCTCCTGGCCCTCTTACCCTGAAACAGGGGGCACTGGAACATGGCAGGCAGGGACTCTTCCAGTTTCTGCACACACCCCAGCGCACACACACACCCCAGGGCAAGCGCACACACACACACTGTCTTTACTTTTTCCTCGTAAGAGGGTAAAGTGTCTTTCTTGTCAAGGCTAATATTTTTTCTCTTACTGAGGCAGGTATCTTCCCACTTTCTCCATCTCTCCTCTGATTTCAACCTCTTCACTCTACTTTGTTTCAATCCCCATATAAAGGAATTCAAATCTGTCCATTCCCTACCAAAGACAAACACAATGGAGCTGGTGGGTTCTGCTTAAATTTATGGTTTCAGTCCTGCCCAGAAATCATATTACATTTCTCTGACCATTTTCCCTCTTTCACTCACCAGAACAACTACTTCAAGCCATCAGATCTCTGAAGGATGTAGGACCCATTGCCCTCCAGGTTGGAGAGAAAGATCTTACCTGTCTCAGATGCAAAGGGTAAATAACTCACAAGCCTCAACCACTAGGAATACAGCAGGTGGAGTCCAACACCGGGCAGCAGCAGAGGAGAACCAGCACCCAGGTTAAATGGATTTGCCAGTGACCACCCTAAGCTGCCTCCTGACAGACTGAGGGATGCCCCGGCTGAAAACAAAGAACACTTTGCCATTCTTGCCGGTAGTGGTCTGAAGCTACAGACAGGTCTTGGGTGCAAAGCAGCAGGGTTACATAAAAGCATAACTTTATAAAGGAGACATCATTACATATCAAATGAAGAAAGAAAGGGATATGCAGAAGGTGATGCTGGAATAATAATACTTAAAATTTCAGAGAAATAAAAACCATTTAGTTTCTCATTTAAATACTACCAAAATAAACTTAAGATACTTTCAAGTTATATAAATAGGTAGAAAAAAAAGTAAAACACTGTAATTGAAGAATCGAGGAAAGATGGGCCCATTTGACTACATAAAAATTTTGCCTCCTAGATGTAAAAATAAAATAAGATTTGGAAAAAATGTATTTGGTATGAAAAATGCTGAGAACACAGTAGTTTAGCTGGCAAAGGACATTGTTATAGGCTAAACTGTGTCCCCTTAAACTTATGTTGAATCCCAAACCACCAGTACCTCAGAATGTGACTGTGTTTGGATATAAGGAATTTACAGAGGTAATTAAGTTAAAATGGGGTCATTAGGATGGGCCCTAATCCAATATGGCTGCCATCCTTAGACCAGGAGATTAGAACACGGACACACAGAGAGGGACAGCCATGTGAAGACCCAGAGAGGAGCGCTGCCCACAAGCCCAGGAGAGAGGCCTCAGGAGAAACCAGCCCTGTGGATACCGAGCTAGGACTTCCAGCCTCCAGAACTGTGAGAAAACACACTTCTGCTGTGTGAGCCACCAAGCCTGTGGTACTTTGTGATGGCAGCCCTAGCAAACTTGTTCAGACACATCCTGATCTTTTACAGACAAGAATATAATGAATAAACAGAAGTACCTTAAGACAGAAAGGAAATCCTCTTGAAAGAGATGACTTTTGAGTTATGTCCTGAAAAATGAAAGGGAATTGTTGATCTACAGTGAGCTTTAATCATTATTTGCAGCTGGTTTGCTTGCTTAAAAAAACAAACAACACTTCGTATATTACCAAAAATGAGTGAATTTGAAACACCAAACTTAAGTTTGTACTTTTATGTGAATGAAATAAACCCAGACAACAAGCTGATTTATGCCTTGTTCAAACAGGAGTGTGTGTCAGATACAATCTAGAAGCTCTCAGGATTGCTTTGATAGGGTTTTGTGGTTGAACTAATCATAGGGTAACACATGACAAATAGATTAGATTCCTACTGGGTGCTTTTCTGCTAAATCACACTCCGAGGAGATTGCATTGAATCATCTGCACTGACTCACTGCTGTGGCGGCATTCTTCCCGCAGTAAGCCCCAGGTGTGCAGCTGCTTTACCGGGTTGGCAGTGGTGCACAGGCAAGTAACCACCATCCTGACTCCCTTCTAGTGTGCCCTCGAAAGCTGTAGAGGCAGGAAAATCAAAACCGACACTTTGCTCCCCAGATTTCCTTGCAGATAGGGTTCTAGACATGAAAAAAGTCCATGCTAATAAGATGTATGCACATCTCTACTGCTACTTACTAACTACCTGTGAGGCCTGGATATGCTTACTATTGTTTTACCTTAGGTTCCTTGTCTGTAAAATAGGGGTGATAACAGCACCTATTTCATACCATTGTTTTGAGAACTAAGTGAGTTAAATCATAAAAATTGCTTAGTCTGGCACATAGTATCTGTAGTGCTAGCTTTCTTGTAATCATTGCTGTTATTCTGAAGGTCAGGTAAGGTGGAGGCCACCTTTCTGCTATGTAGCTGTCTTCCTCTGGCAGGTATTGTCCTGGGCTTCCCTACAGCAGGTTCTGATGTCCATCATTAGTTTCATGGGTGTCAGAAGCAGCTGGTCCTAGATCAAGCCTATGGCAGTGTGTCTTCAAGGCTAAACAGTCCTGCTTCAGCCTCTGATTCTCTGGTGGGCCAATTCTACAATGCATTCTTGAGCATCATCTCATTTACACCATTATCCTTCTTTCACTTAAGATCACATTATTTTTCTCCTAAATAAATTAATTTTTTAAAGAAGATTTAGATTTTGTGGCTAATACTTAGGAAGTATCCTTTATTTCTCAAAGTTATTTGGGTTACAAGTAAGAGAAATCCAGAGTGAATGGGCAGATATATTCTGAAAAGCAGGGTCACTTCACCAATTCCACGGACAGAATGTACACTCAGGTTCACAAGGGCCTGGAACCAGGAACCAGAAAGCTCTCTGAAACCAGCTGCTCTGTCTCTCTCCCAGGATGCTGAGCCCTTATCTACCTTTGCTTTGCTCAGCACATCTACTGCTTTCTCTCTGCAGATGGCCTCCTTGGGCTCTACAGATGTGTGGTACAGGATGGTCACCCCACAGCAATGGCTTCAGAACCCTGGTCACAGGGCCTCCCATGTATATACTGGCAGACACTCTCCTGGCTCTCTTCCCAAAGAGGAAAGGCCAAGTTCAGATTGTATTCCCACCCTTGCTCAGTCAACTGTGGCAGGAAACAGTGACCATCATAAAGGAGAAATTTACTGCACAGAATCAGGCCTGTGGACGGTGGGAGCAGCCTCTTGGATGCATGAATAGTAGGCAAACACACCTTAGTGTGTGTGTGTGTGATAATATCCCAGGGAACAAAGACTTTGTAACTTTAATGTGAAATGAATATAACTATTAAATTGCCGGCATATATGAATATCATGGCCTTCACATTTAAAAAATGATACTCTTTGCATATTAATATATATTCTCTTATAGCAATTTAAAATAACCCACATTATCTCAGCAGCTTTAGTATTTCCCTTATCCAAGCAACATGACATGGCTGCTCTGAGAATAGTTATCACAGTAACTAGTAAGTTAACTAAGGAGATAAATAAAAATAGAATTCTAGATGTTGCTGGATGGCTAAATCATGCTCAGATGCAAATTAGGCAATTTGAAAGGGGTATCCATTTATTCAGGCCACTAGGGCACTGTGTAAGGAATTATTTTCCTAGTAAATGAGGGCAAACAGGCCCCTAGTGACTGAAAATTTTGACGCTGCTTCCAAAAGATCTAATCTGCACCCAGGGAGTAGAGAGAAGAATCAGGGAGGAGTAAATAGCCAGATAAATAATGCAAAAACAGAGTCTGGACCAAGGTGGAAGCCAAATTTGAGAGATCAGGTACTGATAGGAAGATTTAAAGTGTGTTTTGTGCAAAGATGACCATTGCAAATTGGTTAACACAGAGCATTGACAATGGCGTGTCAGTATTTACAGCATATGCCATATGACTTCATAGATACATATTTGGGCTTGGGACTGAGGCCCCCAAATGGCAAATATGAGGTTTGGGTAAGAGGAGCAGACTCCTGTTCTCACTTGGTTCCTGGTATCCCCGCTTTACACAAGCTGTCCTCCTCATTACTTACCTAAAGCAAGCTTCCTCCACTGTGGCAGTATATATTGTCAACACATTTCCTTATATCCTTCTGGGTGGTTTTGGTGAACAGAGAGAAAGTTATTTTCATTAAAAAAAAAAATTTGTGTTCTAATTATTCAAAACCTAATAATTATTTCTTAAGTTTTTAAGAAGTCAGCTTCAAAAAATAATTCTCTTTATAAATCTAGACAATTTTAACACTCTCCTTAAGGATTTTTAAAGTGAGTAGATTCCCTTAAATATTTCCAACTATATTTATACATTTAACATATTTGATTTTCCTTTAAAAAACAAAACAAAACCACTCCATGTTCTTAGATAAGTTAAAATCTAATCAGTTTTAACTATGGCACCTCAGTTTAAAATCATGAGATAAAGCAATTGCTCAAATGTACACTTAATTGGGAATTACAAAGCTAAAGTATTATTCTAACGGCCAAATTCTCTTAAACATTAAAAATCAAATAAGTTCAGTTTCTTCAACCTAAAAATATTCACGTACAGGTGTGTTTTCCTCAAACAGTCCTATACTTAATACATTCTGAGGTTGAGAGATGCTTGCCCACCAAAGAAAAGATTCTGTCATTCCACGCTCTTTGGGGATTTCCTTCAAGGTGCTTGAGAGCTGCGGAACAGCCTGAAGATTCAGCCTGGACATTAGACTTCCAGGCCAGATACTTTCCACAACCCAGACCTAGGTTGAATTCCCTTTTATAATTACTATAGTTTTTTTAATGTCATAATTTAAGAAGGGAGTGGTTCATAATAGGGCTGACTAATCCACTTCAGAGCAGCACAATATCTAGGACCTACCATGCCAACATTAAAAATATGTTTTAATTTTAACTTCTTTTAAAATAAGAAAAATATTAATATGATAATAATGAATATATAATGCCAAATCAGGTTGGATTATATTCATCTTTATATCAATGCAGTAATAAAATAGAAGTTTTAACATCTTTTTCCCACAAAGGCAAAAGTACCCAGGGCCTCTTGAAAGTCAAAACATGATCCTGGTCACTTAGCCTACATCCCTCGGTATGAGTTCTATGAGGCACTAATTTTTAAATCAATTTACAGAGCTTGGACACCAGACCTAGACTGGCCCATTATGCCAATGTATTTTGCATTTCTTTTGCTCTTCAGATATTGAAATATCTAATTTTGCAGGATTTTTCATTCTTTTTTTATTTTTACTATCTTGAAGAGCATACACCCCTTATATATGTTAAAATGGCATACAGCTGACAACAATTTGGACAGTCATTTCATAAAGGAAGCTATTCAAATAGCAAATAAGCACATAAAAAACATAATTAGTCATCAGAGAAATGAAAATAACCACAATGAGATAGGATTATATGCCCTGTATGGTTATATAATGGTTCAATTTTTAAACTGGACAACACTGAATGTTGGTGAAGATGTGGAAGGACCAGAACTCCCATACATTGTTCACAGAGTATGAAATGATACAGTCACTTGGGAAAAGTTTTGGAGGTCCTATAATGAATGACCTTATAGCCCTACCATTCCACTCCCAGCTATTTGCCCTAACCTGAATTAGTTTCAAAAAGTATTATGCTGAGTGAAAGGAGCATTATGCAAAAGTATATCATGTGTGATTCTTTATTTTTTTTAGCTCTAGAACAGGATAAATGAATATATGATGAATGTTGTCTCTGGTGATGGGAGCAGGGATTTACTGGGAAAGAGTTTGAAGGAACTTTCTGGAGTGATACAAGTTTGAGTTCATTAACTTGTCAAAACTCATCCAATGTTACAATTGAGATTTATGCATTTCACTTGTTAGAAAAACAAAATTCAACTGAGTATATTTTAAAGATCTTATTGACTTTATTTACTGATTCATGAATAGGGCATCATCCAATTTGGCAGACGGAAAGGAGCTCTGAAGAGCTGGACAAGATGAATGATTTTTGCAGGCAGAAGAGGGTGGAACAAGGAAGTTAAAATAGGCAAAAAAGCTGGTTGGTTATGGTAAGGTCACTTTCCTTATGTGAGATGACAGGGCAGATTACCTAACTAGTGCTGGTAGGCGATTCCTTGACTGTTTTAAGATTCCATTCCTGAGATTGATTACAAAAATGTTAATTAAGTTAGGTCTTGGTGTGGTGAAGCCATTCCATTTTGGGCCTATTGTCTTGTTTTTAACACACTGTATGTAAATTTTACCTAAAAACAAAAAGACCCATAAACAAACTGAACTCTAGGTAATAAATAACATGCAGGTTGAAGTCTTTAAGAGTAAAGTATACTGTCTGCAGCTTATATTGTAGTATCAAAAAAATTAGATGATAGGCAAAGGATTTAAATAGACATTTCTCCAAAGAAAATACACAAATGGCCAATGAAAACAACAAAATGTTCAGCATGATTTGTCACTAAAGAAATGCAAATCAAAACCACAATAAAATATCATTTTTCATCTATTAGAATGGCTATAATCTAAAAGACAGACAATAACAAGTGAGTGTTCCCAAAGATTTGGAAAAATTGGAACCCTTATATGTTACTGGTGGCTATGCAATATGGTGCATTCACTGCAGAAAACGGGCAGTTCTTCAAAATGTTAAACACAGAGTTATCGTATGACTCAGCAATTCTGTATATACCCAGGACTATTGAAAACATGTCCAGTGTCCACGCAAA